AATCCCTTTAAGCAAGCACTTTTACAAAAATAAATTCGCTATTGGAAATAAGTACTCATTAGAAGAGAACAATCACACTATAGTCAGTTTAACTAATGAATTCAAAATACTGGCGAGACTATAATTTATAGGTGAACCAATGAAATTAAAGACTTGAATTCCGGGGTGTAGTTCATTCATCCCTATGATTAAAAAACCTTTTCGCAATATAGATGATATCAGTTCGTGATAAAAACTCCAACCTTACTAATCCTAACCTGTGACTCTTAATCCCCATCCTTATTTGTCACACTAATTAATAACCCTCTTTCAATCCTAGTAACTAGAATGAGTTTTCTCAAAATCCCATTAGTATCACCATAAATCATAATGTCAACAAAAATGTCTGAACTATCTAAAACACTGTTAGAATGAATAATGTTTTAACTTAAAGCCCAATGACAAAATTCACTTAATTAATTATTTACTTTGAATATTTCAGTTTTCAGTTCAAATTACGTAATCAGCTTGGTAATTTTTCGTTCCTCTTTTCTTCATTTTAATTATCTACTTGAAATAATGAAAGGCATATTTAATTATGTTAAGGAAAGATGATTAATTTGAATAGCCACATAGTTACGTGATTGTTTTTTCATGTAATAAAGTGCAAACTAATATCATGTGATTGTTATATTAGAGAATTTAGTTTCTCTACACATATAGACAAGTTATGCGCTATTAGCCTTGTTACTATTCTAAAGTGTATATATGTATATATATTTCATAAAAACAAACATTATTGTTTTGTTTATATTCTGAATCTACATGGAATAGATCAAGATATTATCTAATAAAATTGCATTATTCAATGAATAATGGAATTCCCATCTGATACAACAGTTTTATATAGTCTATACTCTATTGGATATTATCTGTTCATATTCAGTCAAACATTAAACAATCGAATAATTTACACAATTTTAAAAAGAATACAGAAGATAACTTAGAATTCGGTTACTATCGATGGTGCTACACTCTAAAATCTAATTAATTTAATTGGATTTTTTCCAACTATCTAAGCAATATCATTAATCCTCACGTTTACCTGAAGTTTGTATTGTATAATTAAACTATACAATTCAGAGTATGTGATGTTAAAATAATCAGCAGTAATGTCATTATTAAATAAAAATAAGTATCAGAGGGGGTAATTTTTTAATAGTTGAGATCATGAGTCAACTGAAACTAGACCACCATGGAAACCCTGGAAGCACTGGACTGCTGTTTTTCCTATTGTGGGATTCCTCGTCAGTGAGCATCCACGATCCCGCCTTGCAAGATTCGAACCCAGGACGGGTCATTCAATTACATGGATCAGCTGAAGTTAGACAATAACACCCTTGGATGCCGGCTCAGTGGTCTAGAGGTTAAGCGTTGATGCGCGAGATCGATAGGTCGTGGGTTCGAATCTCGCGAGGCGGGATCGTGGAGGGGGAAGTGTTCCATACTAGGACGAAACGACTGTCCAGTGCTCCCAGGTTTTCCATAATGGTCTAGCATCAATCGACTCATGATCTCAACCACTAAAAAATAAGTAATATGCAAATGTTTACATGTAAAATATTTAGTAATCAACGATCTTGTTTGATGTTGCATATACATATTTGAATGTTTATTTGCAAGTTGTATGGATTGGGTATTTTTTTTGTTATTGTTAAGAGATCTGAAGATTTATTTTTTTACTAGTTGAAGCTAGACCACCATGGGATGTCTAGAAGCACTAGTCGGCTGTTTCGTCTCATTGTCGGACTCCTCAGCAATGCTGAAGTGTTGTTTTTTTTCCTGTTATTAATTATAATAATAAAATTATTCTCGATAAATGTTTTTTTTAAAACATATTTATCTAATTCAGTAATAAATATTTCGATAAATGTCAGAATGAAAATATTGAAAAAAAACTGGTTATTCTGTTCCAGCGGTGATTTCATTTTTCGATTTTGCTTTCATCTGATTGAAACATTTCAACTTATCTAAAATGGATAGTTTTTCTTACATTGAAGTCTAAGTTTTTCAATATTTTGTATAGACATATATACGTATCATAATTTAGAAAATTATTGAAAATGCCAAGATAATGTATAATTTATATGAGATCCGAATTCCCTTATTATTATTATTATAGTGCTTCTTTTCAATTTGATACTAGAATAAATATAAACCTATTGTTTTAAATAGTATACCGAAATAACAAATTAGTTTTATAAAACAAAATAGATGGGTTTTGTCTGACAGTAGGATTCTAGACATATATTCAATTCAGTTTGATAATGGTCAGTTTTAAAGAGAGCAAGAAGGAAGATTGGTGCAGAATAATCTGAATTCATTTTATTTCGTTAGGTTCTCATCAGCTGCTTACAATCTAAAATATTTAAAATTCAACATTATTACAGATATTGACATACTTATGCATAAGAGGGTGATTAAATGTATCATGGTGTAGCGAAGATTTCGATAGAGTTAATGAGGTCATAAAATTTTGTTTCGAATATATAGAGTTTGGGAGGGAAGGTTCCAGAACATTGAAATAGTGATTAGAACTGATGAAAATAGATTAATGGTAATAAAGAAAATATGAATTGAAATCATTCAGTTATGTATGATGTAATTTAAACTTCAGAAAGAGTTGGAATAATGACGCGTCATTATTACCATTAATCTATTTTCATCAGTTCTAATCACTAATTCAATACTCTGGAACTTTCTCTCTCAAACTTCATTTATTTGAGACAAACTTTTATGACCCCATTAACTCTATTGAAATCTTCGCTACACCATGATACATTTATTCATCATAAATCACTCTCTTATGTATAACTATGTCAATATCTGTAATAATGTTGAATTTTAAATAATTTAGGTTGTCAACAGCTGATGAGAACCTAATGAAATAAAATGAATTCAGATTATTCTGCACCAATCTTTGTTCTTGCTCTCTTTAAGATAATAAAGGGAACTATGTGTATGAAATGGTCAGTTTAATGTACCAATGTTTTAATTATAATATACCTTGTGAAGCATAAATCTAGTAGGTTTTACATCATATCCTTACAGTTTTATTCGATGGAGCTGTAGATAAAAATGCAATTGTTCAATGGATATTGTGAATTTTAAATGGCATGAAATATACGCTCCGAATTACACCGTAAAATAAAATCCATCTATTTTGTGTAGTTTGTAACAAAGTAGTTGTTATATCCCGATAAGAATAATGAATGGTAATTTTTGGGATCCATTTATGAACCAATATTATGAGTACATTTTTATCGTATAATTGTTTCGCAACTAAACTGTTCATATTCATGCCCCTCTTATTATCAGCTTTATTTTGACCTATTATTATACTATTATTATATTCTGTGTTTGTTAATCGCTACCTCCCTCATTCACAGTCACATCTGGCTAATTCTTGTACAAATGTTGTTTCATATTTTATTGGTACGTTGTGGTCGGTTTGTTTGGTATATAAACTCAGTATGCTTGAAATATAATGATTCATATCTCAGAGTCTGAGACATACGTTCTGGATTCAACTGGCTGGGCTAAACAGGGAAGCGTGACCAATCAGAACTCCAGGCCGTTCTTGCGTTTTTACGCGTCTTAGGTCCGATCGATAATACGCTGCGCTCTAATCTGCAGTCACAGTCATAACAGTAATTATACGGAAGCAAACATTATACTTACCATTTTTAATTAGAGGTTACACGAACTTATCCCATCCCTTAAATTAGTTCAAATTTTGTATTAATGTACTCTATTGTGATAAAATTTAGTAATGTTGTAGCAAATTAGAATCTTTAGTTGATGCATTCATTAGTGTGTTATTTTTCGAGGAAGTTGGTTTAAAAAAACTTAGTCTCGAAAAGACAACTAATGTCTAACAAATATATTAACCATGTTAAGTAAACCAATACCACCAAACAGACTTCAGTTCTTAAGAATCAAAATAATATAAAACAACCTAACAGATTACCTTATAAGGTACAAGAAAATATATGCTTGATCTAGGCTGGGAATTCATAACTAAATAATTTCTTACCTGTTTTAAAATATCTAATTGATAGCTTTCAAAATCTCCACATTAGGACATCACACTCATGCCAATGGTCTATATATAAATAAGACTAGTTTTTTTTTAAAGTTCTATCAATCACTTTATAAACTATTAAGAGACATTATAGACAAGAAATATAACCAGTTAAGATCAGATCTACTCCAATGAAGTCTCATCGAATCTGTTAATCAAGCTTGCGTAAGCAATGTCTTTATTGTACTGTTTAATCAATAATCACATCACTGCTAAACTAATTACTAATTACCTTTTTGTTATAAAACTGTATCTAAACCAATTTATTAAATTTATTTATGATACGTACTTTATTTAACATCACCAACTATAATAAATTTTCAATGTACGTTGAATTGTAACATGTTTACTTAAATAATTTTGGTGTTAATATATTTCACACTGTGAAGAAATGTTTTTTTTCTTTTTGTTATTATCTTTAATAACCAAATTTACAAATAAAGTCACTAATAAAACTTTATTGGTTACAGTCTAATTAACAACCAATTATCAAAGAATTCACAATATTCAATCTTTTCTAAGTTTTGGTTTAGCTTGAAATGAATTATGTTAGATGGCTGATGTAAATCAATAACAAAAAAAAACGTGAAATTAAAACAATCTAAATATGAAAACTACAAGTGAATAAAGTAAAATACAAATGAAGAAAAAAGAGGTGTGTAAATTAAACAACTATGTAAATATTAAACAAACTTTGTTAAAATTTTTACTGTTTATATATGTAATATAAAGTGCATTTAAGCAAAATCTTTATTATGATTGGCTAATAGTTAATTAACCAATCAGAAAAATGACCTTGATGAATTTTAAAGTAGAAAAATGAATATCCCATTTTTTTAAAAAAAATTAATTCATTTATTCGTTTAGAAAAATTGAAATAATATTTTGTAGAAAACATTGCAGGTTTCAATTATGGAAATTTTATAATAATGAAGTTGTACAAATGTATTTATTAGTAATGGCGTTAATTGTATTACTTCAACAACAACAACAACGCCAATAAAAGTATTCATTTTCTTACTTTATTGAAAGGATAATTACCGGAGGATAATAATATTTAGTAATTGAATGTTATAATTTACAAAAATTGAATGAAACAGTCAGGATCTATTTACTTTTTCTTTATTGTTGTGATAATTTATTTGAAAATACACTTAACAAATATTCTCATGGAAGAGTCATTTCAATTGTTGATAGAATGATTGGATAATCGACTAGATTATAATGACGTAAGCATACTCATAGTATTTTGTTGAGTCATTGTTATGAATTATTCTAATTATTATATATAGAATAAATGAAATTTGTCAAGTAGATGAATTCGGAAAGTACGTTCTGTCTTATTGGGGACTTGTCAACAGGATGTACCTGAAGTCGAAAAGTTGATGTTTACTTCAGAGTTTTAGTCTCAAATAAAATGTATGCGCATCCTGGATTTCAATGTTGGTCACATCCCATCTTTTCATAAATGGAATAATGGATATATTGAGGTAATCCGCATTGAATGTACACGTACAAGCTAAGAATTATCAAGACTCAGTCAGAATATCGACAACGAAATACTCTGAAATCATTGTAACGTAAACTTAGATATTTAGTATTACAAAACTTTTAGTGAGATCTAAAATGTTTCTAATTTAAATGTAGTCAATGATGGATTTAGTTCATCTCTTTTAACATCGTCATAACTATACTGGATTAATTTTTAATTTCAATGCATAGTTTAGAGATATACCAATCACATTTAAATGAATGATTGAATGGTTCTCATCAACGTTTGTTTATGATAATTAAACCCTTTTCTTCATGAATGTAATGGTAATTATATATATATATATATATATATATATATATATATATATATATATATATATATATATATATATACCGAAACTGACTACATAAGAATTGATCCACTCTCAGTTACTACATTTCGCAAATATTTATTTTTTCTTATATTTGTGTTACGTTAGTCTAGTTGCCAAAGTAATGATCTCAATAAGAATTTCATGAACATGTCACTACTTAGTAATTAGTTCTTTTATTTATCCTATTCATAGTTATTGTTAGAAAACAAATTAACTTTAAGAAATTAATTAGATTAAGTTCTCTAACATATCGGTTAAAAATCATAGGGTGTCATGTATATTTTCCTTATATGAATGCTATTATTGAATGGAAAATATTTCTTTATAATAGAAAACTGCCAATTAATTTAGTACACAAGGATTATTCAAAGTGTTTATGGACATATATATACCTCATAGAAAACACGTAATGGAAACAAATTCACATTTTAAAAAAAGTATGTAGTAGGTTAATAATCTAGAAATATTCAAAGCGATAATAATAACCGTAATCAAATAAATTACCTTTATTTGCATTTAATGATTAAACTAAGGCATACTAATAATTAGTTATTGCTAAGACTGATAGCTCTTGGGTTCGAATCTAGCGGGGGAGCGGGATCGTGGATGCACACTGCCGAGAAGTCCCATACTAGGACGAAACGGCCGTCCAGTGCTTCTAGGTTCTCCATGGTGGTCTAGATTCAATTGATTTCAACTACTGAGATTGTTAAAAATCCCCACAAAACCCCTTCTGATATTGCTAAGATCATAAGTTTCTCAGTTATTATTTCTGTTATGAGATTCTCTACAGCTAAACAAAAAACCTCATTCGTACGAAGATTTCTACTTTTAAATATGTGAAATGATTGAAAGATTTCAATTAATCATTCTATTCTAATTATGATCACTGATTTCTCTAAGTTTACAGTCTCATATACAAACTTAGATCATTAGGAATTTTACAATGCTGTTTAGCACTGGACTATTTTGTATGGTAAAATGATTAGCTAACTAATTGAAATCACAGTTTTTTTAATTACATTTCTCCAACTATACCAATCTGGATTTTACCGAAATTTAAACAGTCGCAATAATACTTGTCTATTTTCCACAGAAACCTAAAGATCTTAAGTCAGGTTCTCACTTGTTGGGTAAGGATGCTCACTGTTGAGAAGTCCCATACTAAAAAGGAACGACCATCTTGTGTTCCCGGATTTTCAGCAGTTATAAAACTTTGATCGGTTTATGATTTTAGTAAAATTTATCAAATAGCTAAAACGTTATATTTTTTATGCGTAAATAAAAACAATCTTTACCACGAATAATCTATTCGTAAGATGATTGATGAAGATATATTCACGAAATGAAGCTAATACTTGTTTAAACCATAGATATTTAATAAATTCAAAAACCCGATTTGAAACATCAAATAGTTTACAATGTGTCATTGAAAACTGAATCATTTTAATCGGGATTATCGTTTGCTTACTTATACTTTAATACATTAATCAATTAACTAATTTCTCAAGCTGTCAGAATAGTCTTACAATGATTGAAATTTATTTTGAGTTCAGCTCGATACAGTTGTATTTCAAATTGTACGAAATTCGATTCGCAACTATGTTGTTATGCTGTTTCTTTTAAGAATCTGGATTAAATTAGTATGTTATTGTTGATCTATCCAAGAATTAATTTACCAAACGAGAATGAATAAAGAATATTTTGTTTCTTTTCCCATTTTCCTCATTTCATTGTAAGTCACATTAATTCATATTGAATGAGTCAATAATGTGAATATTAAAAATCGGCATCATTTTAGTGATAAATAAATACATAAATTTTATAGATTTAATTACACTTTGATCTTAGTATCAGAAGGGGGTTTGTGGAGACAGTAGTAATTTCAGTAGTTGAGATCATGATTCAATTGAAGTTAGACCATCATGGAAAACCTGGAAACACTGGACGGCTGTTTCTTCCTATTGTGGAACTCCTCAGCAGTGTGCATCCACGATTCCACCTCGCGGATTCGAACACTGGACTTATCAGTCGCGTACCAGGCGCTTAACCAACTCTGATCTTAGTCAGATAGTCTTTGAAAGTCAAGAAACATTGGATAGCTATTACATTCTAGTATAGGACTCTTCTTTAGAGTGCATCTATGACTTTGTCACACTGGATCGAACTCACAACTTCAGAAATAATGTAATATATTCAAAAAGGAAATTTATATTTCGTTAAAAAAATATGTAAAGATGTAGTAACGGTATAACACTAACCAATATCTGCTATTTTATTACTTTATAAGTAGTAAATATTGTATTGAAGTAAAAAAAGCAACTCAAAATCATTCAGCCAAGTATAATCAATAACTGTGTTACTCTAATTTAGCTGAATAAAATTAGAATATTAAAATACCACATAGTAATTACTGTCATCAATATTTAAAATAAGGAATATTATGCATTTATAATGAATATTCATCTTATTCTGTATATGATTGATGTATCTCAGGATGTTTACGCCGTAAACAAGGTATTTCTTATGTATGCAAAATAAACCCAGGTCTACAGTCAATTTCATAATGTATCATTATTATTTTCTAATTATCATATCGATTCACTGGAAGAAATTATATTTTTCGGTTCTTGATATTTAGGACTATTTTTGAGTACTCTCCATCGGAATATTTACACTTTAAGTCGATACATCTTTATGTTTTTTTTAATTAGTAAATAATGCTTTTTTAGAAGTGATAGGTATAAATGTTAATACTGAGATTGAGGTACATCGACTTCACCTGTCTCAATGGGTGTCTTCCATTTTACTGATAACCACAACAACGAAAAATGTGTCATATTTACGATTACTACTGTAGTGAAAGACAAGACAGGTGAGGACAATCGAATTATATTTAGCACAAAATTACAGAGTTACTTGGTAAAATAGAAAAAACCATACTATAATACTTAATTTGCAAAATGTTCAATAATTGTCTCGAACTTCGTTGTTCTTGCATTTCCATACTAATTGCTTTCTATTCCCGCTCTTCCTTTCTTGATCTTCCCACATCTTCTGCTGCCGGACATTACATTCCTGACTCGCGTCATATACTAATTATATCAATATAAGTAGCACGAACCACACTAGTACCAGTAACATTATTTTATGAGGTACTGACAATATTTAATATAATCACCTGTGTACTTTATTGGGCTGTTTATGACACTATTAAACATTTATATAAAGTACAATGTATTAAAATACTGTTCTTAGTGTAATACTGAATAACAAAATCCAGTTGGTTAGAATTTAGCAGTACGAATTCGGAAAAGATAACATCCAATATACAACAAACCTGTTAGAATTTAACGTAAAGAGGTGTAAACCTATTACCCATTACCCATTTGTGTAAAATATATACACCTCACTAAGCCAATATTTATAATTTACACAACTAAAAGAATTTTCATTCACCTAGTTTTGATTATTAAGTTAGTCTTATCTTAGTAACCAAGTGACCTGATATTATTGTTGTTTTAAGAAGTGATATATCAAGAAATAAAGTGTTTTACACATGGTTTACGAATATTATTGATTGATTTATTACCAAACGTTTGAAAAGCCACCTGTTGAATATAGCTCAAAATCGTTTGCAATGACACAGGTGCATCCACCCTTTGTTTTCTCTCAAATTCTAATCTTCTGAATTCTTCATGTCCCTTTATTCCTCTTTCCAAATTTATTTCACTGGATTATACTCCTTGACTAACATCTTCAAACCCTGATCTTTCCGATTACTGCTTATACTCTTACCACCTCTACCATTACGGGTTTGAATCAACAACCACATCTCTGTGCTAATGTAGTATAGCAACTCGAACTGATGTACGTACGTACGAAGTTTCACGTTGTTACTGACTGACTATTGAATATCTACCTACAATACTGATGAATTATTGGATTATATTAAACAGAATATATCCTATTATAATTTAACGATTGCTTTAGTAATCATTTGCTCAAAATGAACATCAGATTTAGATAGTGACAAATTTTAAAATATAAATCACTAGGAATATTTATTTGCCAACATTTTTTAGCGCTTTGTTTCTTCTAGATTTACGTAAAATGTATATAAATAATAAAAAAGTCTACTAGATATATAGAAGGTAAGAGAAAACAAAGAAAACAAAATAATATGAAAAACAATTTGAATATTTATTAGTGTAGGTTTAGGGTGAGAACATAATGTATGTGATCAGACTGTTCCAAATATATCATTTTAACATATATCACATAGTTCTTATAATCTTAGTCTTACTATGACAGAAAATTACTGTTAAACAATACAGTAAAGGTAAGTGTTTAACATAATATCATTGTGTAATGAAATTGAGCATAATAAATTATAATTCATTGTTGAGTCACCTATACTAGTGGCTACATTACATCTTGGTTGATAGGATTCTATCTACACTAAGAAGCACCTGATATACATGGTGTTGACCACCACCTAGTGATCAACCAATTATAAATACATCTCAGTTCTATAGAAGGTCAGTAGTAACGTCTCTGACAGTGAATCTGGGTGGTACGGGATCGAATCCATCATAGAGCATTAGTTCCCTCAAGCTTAAGGTACACCTTGCTGACAAGTGTCAAGTAGCACAAAATCTAGGTCCAGGGTTTCCTATTGACTACCTCCAACCATCATCTTATCTCAACATAGTGCACACAATGTCGAATCACCTAGACTGTGGCCACATTGCAACTTGATCAATAGGATTCGAGCTGCACTAAGAAAGCATCTGACATTAATCACCACCCAGCGATCAAACAATTGTATATAATCATTGTTTACTTATTGAGAAAGAACAAACAAAGTAATGCTAAAATATGATAATGGAGTTTGGTTCACTACTCTACTACTACTTATTCATGTTAATACGTTTTAATTACTGTATATCAAAGAGAGCTTACAATACTACAACAATGTCAAATAGAAAGGCAGTAATTTAAAACGAATACAAATTATAACATGTTCCAGTCGTGTTAATATACTGAGTTAACCGTAAGTCCAATTCAATTGTAATAATATTTGATCGAACTATACATAAATCTAACTATATAATATATATTATTGATATATTAATGGGATATTAATTTCATTATGTCTATTGTTTCTTTTCTTATCATAGATAAATTACCAAAATAGACATTGTATCAGTTAGTGATTCGTATCATCACTCCTCGTTTTTTCTCTCAGAATGATTCAATTTCATTCATTAAAAAAATAGAACATACTGTAAACTGTAATGTGACAATGATATTGTGTATAACTGTATTATTGATGACATGATAATTATTGTCTTTATTAGTCAATATTTACTGTGTATAGAAACAAGTGAAAATATGTTTCAATCTTTGAAGGTAAGCTGTTCATTATTGATTGTATCATTCTGGTATATAATAATAATAATAATAATAACAATGCGATAAATATGAATTATTTATGTCACGAATATGTTTGATTCCAAGTAATATTTGGTTTTATTCATTTTAGGTGAAGTTCACATTGAATTATTGATACAATTATAAGAGATGATAAGTAGTGATTGGACTTCAATAGCTTCATATTATCAATGTATCATTTCTATTCGGATGTACAGTATCGTTTAGTGAAAAGTTTCAGTTTCCCTTACTGTTTCACAATAAAATCTATAAAGTCATCAGTTATGTTAGTAAATTTGTAACGTATTATAATGAACCCGTTATTTTGGGCAGTTATTCATAAAGATGAAGGCAAAAGAGTGACTATCCGAAAAACGTATATTGATAAAGACGAGCATCAGAAACAGAAATAATTTTTTAAAGGTTTGAAATTGTGCCGATTGATCATTTGTCTCTTTACTTCTAAGACTATTCAAAACATTCAAGGAAGAGTCAATGTCTAACAGTCAATGTGATTTTTTGAATTAAAAAACAATTTGTTTCAGAAGGGGTTTTGTGGAGATTGTAGTAATTTCAATAGTTGAGATCATGATAACACTGGACGGCCATTTCTTCCTATTGTGGAACCCCTCAACAAAGTGCATCCACGACTCAGCCTCACGAGATCGGAACCCAGGGCCCATCAGTCTCGCTCGCGAGAGCTTGACCACCAGGCCACTAAGCCGAGTTCGAATCCCGGGAAGCGGGGTCGTGTGTGCCAACTGATGAGGAGTCCCACAATAGGAAGAGACTGCCGTTCAGGGCTTCCAGGCTCTCCATGGTGGTCTAGCTTCAATTGACTCATGATCTCAACTAATAAAAACAATTTGTTAATCTTATTATCCTAGTTATGTTATCTCATACATCTATTTGGAACAGCGTAGCTGACAATTTTTTTGATGTGCCTAATGATTTGTATAAGATTCTACAGTAATAAAATTCTAACAGTGTGTCATTCTCACTAATCATTGAATATTTTTTCGATATGATATTCTCGGCTTAATTATTTTGAACAGTCTATTGGTTGTAAAAGCAAAAGGACAGAAGGTCAACTGACGAAATTTGCAACCCTTATAAACGTTGTTCCCTTTTGCAGTTCTCACCTTTATTATTCTAATCGTTGGTCTATAATTCACAAGGCGAAACAAGCATAAGTAAGCTCTTTAAATAGTCACCTTTAGTAGTGTTGGCCTGCGTTTTAGCTTTACATTAGTAGTATATAGTAGTCACACTTTCTTCAGTTACTTAGTTTCACTTATTGTGGCCTAAGGCATTTGATTTACATTACCGTAGTTTCTAAAGCTTTATTTCTTACATATTCAATTATCTTGACAGCTAGAAAATAACAAATTTATAGGGATGTAAAAATAGATATAAAAAGTAAGCGATCTCTTCACGAAATATTGCATTGTTTATAAACACTCAAGATTTATTGGACATTTCTTATGTAATAGCTCGAAATTATTAGCGGGTTTATGTTAAAGCAGGAATTGTTTTATTCTAAATTCGCAGGATTTGGAGTTCGAAGTCCACCCTCTGAAAAAAAGATCATTAACAATTAAACATCATCGAGCACAAAAATGAAATAAGAGTTATTTTTATGACATTAAAGTAGTTATGGTTATCAAATGGTTTTACAAACATCACTCTTGGCTTCTGCAGTTTTTGGAAATAAAATTATTAATTTTACTAATAATCAATTCTTTATAAATTTAACATTAGTTAAAATAATTATTAACCTAACTCATGGAAATAACATTTGTATGTTCAAAACAGAGATGGATAGTGGTTTTGAATGGAGTCCAGAACCCATGCTCCTTCTTATTCGAATTCGTCAGCTGGCTATACTTTCAGCTGAGTATTGAGGTTCACTCTAGAACTTTAATCCAGTTACTTCTGTCTCAGTTAGCCACTGAGTATACATAGACAATGGTTTGTTTAATGAAAATAAGTTGTAATTCAATTTTGAGGATTTAACATCTATTTTCCGGCGTTTAGGACTGCAGCCAATTTCAAGTGAACATCAACACTGGGAAGCAGATACATCAAGCTAATGAGTCTCAGATAGTGCAAAACACTTAAGTTGTATTTAACTGCTATCCACTAACAATCTCTGTTTAAAAATTCTTTTCACTAATACCAAAATCAAGATGATCCTCACAACATTTATATATTTCAGAGCAGATTGGTCACATTTTCTATCCTTACTATCAATAATGAGTAGTAAATTAATTCAATATTTAATTTTGTTTATTATTTATGAGTAGAAAGGTGACATTTTCTATTTGAAACAAAGTAAAACTTTCTAATTAAAGTAATATACAATGTATCAGAAGGTGTTTTTTTGTGAATATTATAGCAATTTCAATAGTTAAGATAATGAATCAATTGAAGCTTGTGTCCGAATCCCACAAGGTGGGATCATGGATACACACTACTGAAGAGTCCAACAATGGGACGAAATAGTCACCCAGTGATTCCAGTCTTTCCTTAGTGGTCTAGCTTCAATTGAAATCAACATACATTGTTTTAACTTAAATTCCAACAATATGCGATTTACATATAGAAGTGTTCATAGTAAATACAGAATTGATTACTATCAAATAAACTTAATTATTTACCATAAATCACAATAGTTTTGTTATACATTGATATCATTCACAAAATATAACAAAACATTTTAATTGATAGAGTTCGTTACTATATTGATATATTTATCATTGTATTATGTTTCAATTAAAGCTGTCACTTGATATGATATTATCCAATGTTGTTTGTTTGTTTTTGTTTTCTTATCGAATTTATATTACTGAAGAAAAACGTTTACAATGACTGATTAATTTTATTTTAATGAATATAAGATAATTAAAATACATCAATTGAATATTTACTATCAATGAAATTCTAGATTAGAAACAAGGTAGATCTATAGGTTCATCAAAATGAACCGTTTAATCGAGAATGTGAATGATTTTGAGTTTTCATTGAACTATGCTCAAACGATAAATAGTGGGGAAGCCTTACGATAAGATTATTTAGTGAGTTGAAGAATTTACCGCTTACGTTGATGAATAATAGAGCTAATACTTCGAGTAATCTGTACTTATTAGAAGTAATGGAAATTTTGGATTCAAGTATTATGTCGATTGTGAGGTTCTGTGTGATAGTGTCCATCATTGATAGGCGTACCAAAAAAGTATGTTAATCTTGTACATGATCTCTATTCGAACACTACTGATCAAGTTAGAGCTTATGACGAACTGTCATCGGAATCGGTTACTTGATGTAGTGTTCATTAGAGTTGTCCATCGTATTCATTTTTATTTATCATAGATATATATATTCAGAAATAATACTCTCATCATCTAACTTTCTAGGGGGTTAATTTTCTGTTAGGATGTTCACTTGTTGAATAAGAAAATACAAATGATATAGTTCAGCTTGATGAAGATGATGACATTATGCGAAGTCTTCTAACCACCTTAAGCAATGATACAAGAATGTTCCGGATTAGGTTCTCTATCTCCTTCAGGATTGATATGAGTTGGCGTCTGAAATTAACGATAGGGTATGAAGAAGTTGGACGTATTGATCGCTTTGCTTATCTTTGGAATTTCGGCAGCCCTGATGGTCTATTGCTTGACAAAACCTCGGCATAGATTCAAACAGTCAAGTGATTTTTGCTAAATTCCATCACTTGTGGAGTAGGCAAGATATCCTTCAATGACTCAAGTACATCAAACCCTCTGTCTTCTCCTCACAATCTGTTTGTTTTAATTTCACTAATTTAAATTTCCTTGGGTTGTATCGTGGATGACCAAACTTTTCTATTACAACTAATAATCTTACCATCTCTACTATTCTGCAATTTGGCCTAACAGTTTAATCTGTCTGTGCTAATTGGGTATGCAACTCGAACGGATTTACATAAATACCAGGTTCTACGTTGTGAGCGACCGAAAAGTATTATGACATTCAATATAACAATATGTACGGCACACTATAAACACTATAAATAATTATCAGAATGGGGGTTTGTGAAGATTGTAGTAATGTTAACAGTTGAATTCATGAGTCAATCTAAGCTATAACAGCATTGAAAGCCTGGAAGCACTAGCTTAGATTGACTCATGAATTCAACTATTAAAATTAGTACGACCTCCACAAACCTCCTAATCTAATAGTAATCATCGTGTGCTCACTAATGAATGGCTTCAAGATGGGTTTCCTAGAGATCTAGAGAGAAGCCGTAACCACTGTTGTTCAACACATCTCGGATAGAGACAGGTATCTGCCTCAGACAATGGATGAAGGACTGAGCAAGATCATGGATCGATTGAAGTTAGACATTAACACCGTTGGATGCCGGCTCAGTGGTTTAAAGGTTAAGCGTTCATGCGTGAAACCTAAGGTCCTGAGTTTGGGCCCCGCATGCGGGATCGTGTAGGTGCACTGTTGGGGAGTCCCATACTAGGACGAAAAGGCCATCCAATGCTTCCAAGTTTTCAACAGTGGTCGACTCATGAGTTCAACTATTAAAATTGTCATAAATAATTATGAATAATTCTTTGAAATTATTTGCTTTCTAAATATCTTCAACATATATATTCTTTACTTTTCATTCCATTGTCCGATCAACTATCTAGGTCGATTTACCAAATTATAAAACACAAATCAATTTTCACAACGATATGAATCAATCAAATGATTCACAATTGAACTCCAAGCGGATACATATAATATCTTGTAAGTAATTTTCATTTCATAATTCTTTATTTTGTTTTACTCCAATAATCAGGAGAGGATATTTTTATTGTGTTCTACGTGAGCTACTTAAGAAATAGTTGAACACAATATTAGGTAAACAGCGAACATCAGACGTCCCAGCATTGTAATTACAGATCGTATGTATATGTACGAACAACCGATTATTATTCATTTGGTATTGTTTGTTTGAATGTTTCCATTAATGTATAGGACTTTAATCGATCAGTCTGTTATTGGCATATGTTCATACTGAGCGTATTGCCTCGATATAGCCTTAGTTTGAGTCCCAGAGTGAATATCAACTCTGAGATGCAGGTAAATCCAGTTAACGAGTCCCACATAGGACGAAACGCGCGTCCTGTATTCCACTGCAAGCCACTATCCATCTTTGTGTATAATTGATTATTATGTTCATATTAAATTGTGTTTTTATCACGAAATTGTTCTCCGGTATTAGATGACCATAATTTATAGAGTTGATGTTCAGACTCTACCCAAGATATGTATTAATTTTCACAAAGTAAACTGTTAGCCTTCAAGTATACGGTCTTTGATTAATTTTCGCTCAGCGATCCACAATAGATCATATGTTTTCACAATTAATGACAAAGACTAATATGCTGAAATACCCCTTGAATGATAGACTTACTATTTTACGAACTCCATTATCAAGTATTAACCCAATGCGTATAAATGTGCAAAATAGAAAATCATCTACATTCTGATTAATTACTACGGTTCCACTTTACTTTTTACCATAGTTTTAAATATTAATCTTACTCAAATACAGTTGCGTACATATGTTGTAAGTGATAAAATGACCCATAATATCACTAAATAACTAATCAATGCTTTATGGATCTATAGATGTTCTGAAATAGTTCAGAGTTAGTGATAAAAGTTATCTTCGTCTAGATTTTTCAATGGTGTAAGGCTGTGGATATTATAAGAACGTTAAAGTGGATTCATGACAAAACTTATATAATTTCAGTACTAGTAAACACTATCTTACCCGTTTAAAAGTAATGAATTATTCAATATTAACTATGTTCCACATAGACGTTCATTTTATACATTTTAATTTATTAAAATATTGAAAATCTACATTGCACAAGTTAGAGTGAAACACAAAATCCATTAGTACTTCAATTTGTATTGGATGTTTGAATATTTCCATTTACGTTTAGGACTGCATATACATCAAGTTGACGAGTCCAAAATAGGACCAAACTCGCGTCCAGGATTCCACTGCTAGCCACCATCCACCTCTGTTTATAACTATTATTCCTGTGTTTAATTAGATTTTCATTATGTCCCCCTTAAGGACACTACTTTATTTAAATGCATGTAAGCAAAAATAGTAAGCCAATCACACTTTGTCAATAGTGACCATTATAAATAAAACCAATATTTATAGACACTCAACGTATTCTTTCTCATTTTTACTCGACTAAATTCCAGACTTGCCTCCTACATATTGAGGGGCTTATAAAAATCATTAAAAAAACAATCCTAGTCTTTCCACACATATTCCTATATCTTCTTTCTTAACCAGGGAAGATATAATGAACGAATTGTCTGATTCTTTCAATCTCTATTTATTTGTTTATTTTTTAATCAGCTTTTCGTGTTCAGTCGTTGCTATTTATATATTTTGGACTGATTATCTAAACATTTTCTTTTTTCATAGTATACAAATCATTTGTGCTTAAGCTCTAACTAACTTCCGACTTTCAAATGTCTGTTTATTTTAACATTCTGCCTTCATAATTTATATTTCTGATATGTTACTACTATTACTACTACGAATAATACTAATAGTAATAATAATATTCATAGAGCACTTATCATCCTGATCCATATTATCCTTCTCCATTGACTATGGTCAGCAGTATAATCTATAGCACTATTCTAACTTTCTTACAATATACTTTCATTTTTTTATTTGAGGTGGGCGGCGATTATTGGCAGATAAACCCGAATCTAGGTTTCATATTAATTGATACTAGTCCGCAAGACATATCTACAGTCTTGAACAAATTGTGACTAATTTGATCTAGTGTTATAAACACATAATTATTGAAGGATTTGCTTGCAATGATTTATATTGTATGTGTGTACAGATAAAGTGAATTGAAGCTTGATAAGGAATATACAAACGATCTTCTTTGGTGCTCCAGACATTCTTTCACGTTATTGTTTTGAATCTATATTTTTACCAATGAATCTAGGTGGAGATCCACTATTGATAAGTGTCTGCCGTGTTTTATGGAGTTCTGGAATTGATAGTGTGATTTTATGAATAAGTAATTGTTTTTCCTGTATACATCAAAATTTATAGAATTATAGGTACATGAATATCATGTATTAAGTCATATTTTCTTCAGACTATAAGTAACTGTCATATATTTATCCTTTTTTTATTCATCTCTGAATTTTTGATGCAATAAAGCTAACACTACAAATGAATATCATCCTAGAGAAGAACACAAATTTCATAATAATAAATCGGTAGAAAGCCATGGCGACTACCATCATTCATCATTATCATCAACATCAATAACAACACCAGTGAACGAAGTGAAAACAACAATCAATTTCATAACATTTAAAATATCCGATTGTTACCTACATAATCCATCTATGCATTTGTACGAGAAATTCCGTCTACAGTTTACATTTCGTACATCTCAGGAACACGGTTTAATATTATTCAACTCAGATAAATATGGGGTTGATTTTTTAGCATTTGAATTAATCAAAGGTTATTTACATTTCGTCTTCGACATGGGAAGCGGATCTCAACGTTTTGCATTGACTGCACATAGTGTTACTGATTCTAAATGGCATAATGTGGAATTGTTTAGGTAAGTGGTAAAAATTCCCGTATGTTAAATTAGAACAATACATGACGTATGATAGCAAAAGTAAGATGCGATTAAGTGTTGATCGTGGACGGACAGACATTAGCTGTTTAGTGCGAGATTTCGATGTTATTATTGACCCCTGTAATGGACTCACTGGGTGTAGACTGCTTTATAAATGAGTTAAATAAATTGTTGTATAGCATGCACTTTGGTTAGCCATATCTCGCCATGAATCATGTTTCATATATAACTTAATCCAGTCTGTGTACATAATATCGACCGATTATCCAGTCTAGATGTAGTATAAACCCGGTCAGTAGTCCTATTATTAATCATATTAGTGCAGTATACTTCGGAAATAAAAATAAATAAATTTTTCCTTTACGTAAACGTATCAACGAACAACATAGTTTCCAGATTTCCATGAGGTTTTACGCTGAATAAAAACAGAATGTAGCTGAGTTCTAGCACATTTTATCTGTAGCAGTCATGAAGTAAACACAACCAAACAGTTCATAGCAATTTATAATCTATCTCGTATTTTTTTCTTCTGAGGACTTGATCTCTTTGCACGAAGCTATAGAGATTTGAGCTAATAAACCAAGTCTCCGTATTCATGAGAAATTTACAGCACCTTTATCCCTTATTAGTAGAGTTAGATTTAGCAAACAACCCTATACATTAATTCATTCTGTATTGGTTGTTTTAACGTTCCCATTGATGTTTAAGACTGTAGTTGGTCAGTCTCGTGTTGATAGATGTGCATCTTGAACTGATTACTTTGATATTGCATCAAAATCACAAGCATTACAAGCATAGATGGATGGTGGCAAGCAGTGGAATCCAGGAGGCGCGCTTCGTCTTGTTTAAGACTCATAAAGTGGATGTACATACATCCTAGAGTTAATGTTCATCCGGTGACTTAAATACAATACTGTTCGCTTTGAAGGCCATCACGTACTGAATGCCACCGCTAGCCACCATGTATTTCTGCTTATAATCGTACATATTATTATTCACCATATTCTTTGTTTATTTCTTCTTCAAACCATTTTCGAATATATCCTTCACTGACCGACTACATAAAAACATAATACGCAACTTTTATATTTCTTTTCAGTGTTAGTACACTTGCACTCAAAATGTTGATTTGTATACTTCATTTATTAAATATTTACTTGTGTAAGGTATTTCGCTGTTATTCTTGACAAATAAACTGCCTTGATTATTTTAATATTACCATATATCAATTTAGATATGACTGTGTATCACAGTAAAGCTTGATGAAGAACTAAAAGAAAACACGAATTGTTGGCTTATATGTATTGAACTAATCTATTCCTTATACTAATGAACCAAAAAAATAGAAAGATCACCTTAGAATTGTAAAACAATACCTAATTTTTAACACTCTAGTTAGGCTTGAATATCATTTTTACCTAATGAGATTATATTGTCTCAGCTACATTTCTAGAACTCTCACCATTCAAAACTAGTTGGAGTACGATAATCGTGCAATGCAATGCAGGAGGTCGACATCGTACTTTTGACTGTGCTTAGATGCTGAGGCATTAAAGTATCTTTATAGATATTCAGCATCTTTAGCAATACGACCACCACAAAATGGGAGAACTGGTTAAACGATATAGTCTCGAAGATTACCACGAATTATTTTTTTCCCAGAATGTTTGATTTAGATACTATTATCCGTAAAGTACCCGTTATAAAATCAATCCATACTCATCAAGCGGCTGTGATTTATGTTGAACGAGATATCTATGTAATTTTATTGTCATTCAAACCACAATGAATAAATGTGATTTATTATAATTTCCAAGTCAATTACGTTATTTCACTGTTTTCATCACGTCAGGAATACGTATAATCTGTGAAGATAATTTACGCAATATGGCGTCTGTTTAGTTACATTTAGATAGGCTTAAATGATGATTACGTTTTACCTACTAATTATATTCAAACAACTCCACACGACATCTAATGACTGTCCACCTTATTATTTATTCTCTTATCTGTCCATATTCTTTCAGAAAAGATCTTGAAAATAATATACTCCAATTATATATTGATCGGAATCAAAGTATTGAACAATCTTTGAAGATACCTGTTTTCAATGGTGACATTGCAAGAAATTTCAATTTAAATGATCCACTATATATCGGTGGTATATCTCAACTTGTATTCTTGAAATGGAGAGAGAAACTCAGTTCATACCATGGATTTCAGGTAATTTGACAGAAAAAATACCTTCAAAGATATTCTTTCACATGTATCAACTTCAAACTATATATCAATACAATGTGAGATACACCCGACTTGTAAATAAGTATATAGGAAATGTTTATGGTATCAACTTGAAGTAGGAAGATTTTCTAGCAGTATATTTATAAATAAGACCAAACGCGCTTACTGCATTCCACTATCTATCTCTGCTTTCAATGATCGTAACTTAAGGCAATATCGAGGAAATACGCACAGTATGCATATATGCCAATAAGAGACTGATCAATTGCATTTCTAAACATCAATGGAAAGGTTCAAACAAACAATACAAAGTGAATTCAAGTATATTTAATGTTAAATATGAGTAAACGATATAACATGAGTATTTAAGTCATACATTAAGGATAATTTCTTGACTTAGAACTTCCAAGTTGAACAATCTACTAAATAATTGTACTAAGTGAGTGACTGTAACTGTTTTCAGGAATGTTCGTCAATATTTCACACTGTAGAAAAGAGCTCTTTTCAATTATATCGTAGGTTTTAGTGAAGGTAGTGAAGACAAAAACAATGGTCAGAATGACAGTCAGCTACCTATCTGAATGAAAATATTGTGTGTTATGTTTGGGCTTTCCGACTGCCATCTGTTCATCTTATTATTGATGAACTTTATTCGGAGAAGTCAGTTGTACACACGATTTCATTAAAACGTAGGACAAGACTGACTTTTGCTGAATGGCAATCATGTTTCATACAGTGGAAGCGAATATGGAGCGAATGAGTTGCCGCAAATGCGAAATGGTTTAAAGTGAATAAAAATTAATGTATCCCAAGCTTTCCTGAACTTAAAGTATTTGTTGATTGCAAAACAACTAAACAATGAAAATGTTGAGGAGTCCTATACTAAGACGAAACGGTCGTCCAGTGGTGGTCTAGCTTAAACTGACTCATGAATTCAACTATAAAATTAATGAAAAGAATGTTTAAATATCATTGTCTCATTTAGTATATGTGCATACTGTGCATATTTTCTTGATTCTCTTCATTAAGTCACAAGTATTTTTAAGCAAACATGGATATTGGCCAAAGGGATAACGAGATAGCATTTAAAGCAAAGGATACCGATTTTGAGTATTGAAATGAACATCAACTCTGTGATGCAGGTACACCCAACTGACGAGTCTTATATATGTTCGTTTTTATTGAAAACAAAAAGTGTTACGTTTCAAGCAAAAGTAATCACCTTCACAACATACTTTACTTTTCACTTGGTATTGTTTGGCTTGTATCTTCCCATTGAGGTTTAAGATTGCAATTGATCAGCCTGTTATTGTCATATGTGAATACTGTGCGTATGCCTCGATATTGCCTTAATTCACAAGCTTTTTGCAAGCAATGATGGATAGTGGCTAGCAGTGGAATCCAGGACGCGCGTTTCATCCTATTTGGGACTCGTCAGCTGGATGTACCTGCATCTCAGAGTTGATGTTCACTCTGAGACTCGAACCCAGTACCATTCGCTTCAAAAGCCCTCGCGTTATCCACTCAGCTAATGAGTCCTGATAGTCACTTGCTTGTGCAACGGGGTGAATTTAAATTCACTTGGTTTTGTTTGGCTTGTATCTTCCCATTGAGGTTTATGACTGTAATTGATCAGTCTGTTATTGGCATATGTGCTTGCTGTGCGTATGCCTCGATATTGCCTTAATTCACAAACTTTTTGTAAGCAATGATGGATAGTGACGAGTCCCAAATAGGTCGAAATGCGCGTCCCTGATTCCATTGCTAGCTATCATCCATCTCTGCTTAAAATGCTCGTGACTTAAAGCAATATCGAAGCAATACACACAATAGGCATATATGCCAATAACAGACTGATCAACTGCAATCCTATACAATAATGAGAAGATACAAACAAACAATATCAAATGAATTATCAAATTTCATGATTTCTATTGAAATTTAACCATTAAAATTCTATTCAAAATACTTCATATCTATTTTTCTAATGATTTCATTAAAAACATACATTTATATTTATGTCGCCTAATGTTATCCACATGACCTAACAATAAGTTCATTCCATAACTAAAACCAAAAACAAAACACTAAAAAAGATTATTAGTCTCTATCAGAAAACAATTAATTTTGATATTCATCCATTCATATATAGAGAGGGAGGGAGTAAGAGAGACCAATTAGACAATATTTAATTTACATTAAAATTCATTAGAAATAATTCACTTAGTAACTATTACATAATATAAAACACTTTGAACTGGTTTGTTTATTTGTTTTATTGGTGAATGTATGTGATTTGTGTAATCTCTAGTTGACATATATGAAAAATATTCATAGTGAACAAAACAGACTAGATTAAGTTTCTGTGATAAGAACAAAAAAAGAAGACGGAAACTTTCTATGTTTTTATAATATTGTACTGTTAAAAATTCAAACTTTAATAGGGTATTATGTGCTAATGAATTGAAAGTATAAAATATTGAGTTATGTATTTTTGATTATTGTAGAATGACTGGAATATTTTGTACCTGCTTCGGTTTATGCACCCGGGCAGTATCACAGCCTTCATACATATCAAATGAGATTTATGTGACACATATGTAACTGGTGCCCCCTTGTGCCAGTATTTATGTGTTCAAATAAATAATAAGGAATATTTTGTAAATGTGTTAAATGTTGGTGTGTTTGAAATCTTATACCAAATTTCAAACTATTATATTAATTATATCGTTTTGTTTCCTGAATAAAATCATTTTTAGAAACCTTATTATGTAATGATAGCAAGACTATCATAATTTATGAATGAACCGATCATATATAAAATAATAAGTGATGAGACTATAATTTATGGATGACCTCTTGAGCGATGCTAAAGTAACTTTGAGAGTGTTCACTTAGTAACTAAGATCAAATGAAAATTGTAAACCTGTATGATGAATTTAAATTATGATTTACAGTTGATGAGACTAGAGTTAGGCACTAGATTTAAGGTTTTTAATCACGAACTGACATTAGCTAAAATGCTAAAATGTTATTTAACCATATGGATAAATGAGTTTCGAGCCAAAATTTAAGAACTGTTATCGTAAATCTGATTGATTCCTTAAATGTTTTGGATTTTGACCAAAAAACTCATTTATTCATTTGGTTAAATAGAGTTTTTGCATTTTAATCGATATCACTTTTTGATAAAACCCTAAATCTATTTCCTAACCCTAACTATCATCTGTAAATCAAAATTCTAATTCCTCACACTGGTTTATAACCTTTATTTGGTTCTAGTTAATAGTTGAACATTCTCAAGATCACCTTAATGTCGCTCGATGGTCTTCCATAAATTATGAATTTACCGTGGTGGTTAATACGACAAACAAAATATGTATTCATTTAATGATATTCGTTATTTTTATAACAAATTTCAATTAAACTGATCCGATTGTGGTTTACAACATTTCAGTGTTAATGCATTTCTCCATCTAAATTAGTTATGATGAGGTTAAATTAATCTATTGTAGACGAACTTAGACATGCAATCATTAAGTGCACTTGACAATATCAACAAATCGAGTCAGATCTTCAGTTTAATTTCACATATATTTCATGCTAGACCGTCGAACCCAATACAGGAAAACAGAAGGATATTTCCAATATCATATATCAAGTATGACATTAAAACCAGGTTTTTTTTAAAAAGAGTTATTATTTGTAAAAAATTGTTTATAATTGAAGTCGTTTCCTCTTACCAGAACTTCAGGGAACTAGATCTGAAATGAGGTCATCAATGAGCAAACATTTTAATATTCTAGAACAAATCAGCTGACTAGAAACTCCTAGTTACTATTAATTATTTAATCAATGTCAGTTTCGGATAAAAAGAACAACCACGTCCAAACGTATTTGAGTGATTTATGTAATAATTCGATAATTTATTTCATCTGACAAACGATTTGTTCAGTAGATGAGGTTGGTTACTTTCCAAAAGCTCAAAATAACCGAATAAAAATATACTTATGAATGTAGTGCAAGACACCGGATCATGGCTAAAATATATTATATGATGGGAAGTTGAATGTTATGTCTCAATGAGCTTAATCGAATCAAATGCCTGCTTCATCAGACAGCCCTGAAATCAGACTTGATAAATTCTGCCTTGTCATTTATATTCTACATTTTCAGTTTAAGCAAAACGAACGGTACCAATTACTTAGTTGCATTTTGGAGATGTGGATGGATTTAGTGTTCCTGAATCCTCTGAACTTAATAGTTTAATAACGGAAATTTTATTTTAATTGTAGATAACATCATTATCGTTACTTTTATGTAGTGATGATAATGTCCGAAATGACATTGAAAGGCCCACTATTAATCCACTTAAGTGGGAGAATCCAACAACATTATAAACTTATTGGTATACATGTTCATTTCTATTTATTTATTTATTTAATTTTTGATAAGGGTTGTCTAGGCAATTTCTCTATAAATGGACTACCTCCATTTGATTTATTAAATATGGCTAAGTTAAAATATGCGAAAAATTGGACATTACCTGTCTGTCGAGATCAAATCGTGGACAATTGTCATTATCGACCGAAAGGAGTATTGAACTGTAATCAAATTCAACGTATTCAAAATCATTCAACTATTACAAGAACAAATAAAAATGTTGATGGAGATAATGATAATAATAAACTATTTCAACCATATTGCTTAAATGATGGAATTTGTTTACATACATGGTTAGGTGTTAAGTGTGCCTGTGAATTGACTACATTTGATGGGCATCGATGTATAAAAGGTCAGTAAAAAAAGTAATTATTTTTTATTTATGTTCAAATTTCATTGTGAATTTAAGAGCTAACTCTCTGTGTAGCAGGTGCTTTAACCAACTTATCTTTCCTGGGACAGATAGAAGTGGGTCAGACAAAGGTCAATATATTTCCATTGACCTTTATCGGATTTCATTGCTTCATCATAATTCACAAAAGAGACTTATTGTTGTAAACTTGTCTTTTATTTGATCATTCAATTAACTATTTTTTTGTCCACGTGTATGCGAATCGGAATGTTTTTGTGTAACCTACTTTTTATCACTCTCTATTCTCTTTTTGTTTGTAAATAAAGTCAATAAATTAATTACTACTCGATCGTGGATACAGTGATAGAAATATTTAAAGTTCACTTTACATGATCTCTACGTGTGTGTGGTGTCTGAACTGATGATTTAACTGACTCCTAATAAAAATCGATTACATCCCAACTCGTATTTGGCTACTTGATTTTTTAAGTAAAAATAAATTTGAATTTACTCCGAGAACCAGCCCGGGAATGTATGTGTGAAGTTATAAGGTCGATTAATAATAATTTACACTTCCCTAAGTACACAGAGAATTCTTTTCTGTACCATTATTAGACTATTTATTCGAATTCAGTAATAAATATATGCATATATAGTGTAATTGAATGGAGATAAATTCCGTGTTGAAGATCAGTTGTCTATACCGTTAAAATACCTTTGTGAACACAAAATATGGGTTCATTCCGCTTTTCTTAGATAGAGGTAATTATTAAGGAATAAAAAGATGACTTTGACATTCCACATGCTTCATTTTTTGTCTGATCATCAAGTTTTACAATTCATCAGACCTTTTACAAGTCTTGGTTGATATTAATTAGAAGTGACACATATGAGTAAGATGCCTATAACTAGGCGTATGTGATAAACGTTAAGTTACTACGTATTATCCCTACAGATTGCTTACCGTTACCTGGGTAACAGTTAGACTAGAGAGTAGCTATTACTTTATTTTGAAACATCGATGAGTTTAAAATGTATATTTTCCCAGTAATATTTAATTGGATGCTTCAAAGTATTCAAAGTTTACAGATTCAACAAGCAGCATATATCAAGGTTAACTAAAAATATACTTGTTAAATCACTATGCATACAGCTGTACATCTATATTAAATGATATATTCAAAGAGAAAGTTTCTTCGATGAATAATCTTAAATGATTCGAATTGTATCGCAGTCGCGGATGAAATTCGGTTTATTTCTCAATCTTAAATTATTATCGATTCGACGACTTTTATCATGTTGTGTAACATTAATTCTCATGAATAAAGGTAATAGCTTAATTTCAGTTGCGTCAATTTATTCATTAAATAATAATCTCAATTAAACAGACATAACAATTCCTACATTATACACTTTACACACATGGTTTATTTTATTATGTTAAATATAACTTGAAAGCTTGTAACAAGTTTGTCAGACGCCATGACTAGTGGGGTTCAAGGATGCTATGCGTGAGAAAAGTAAACCACGAAGTTAATGAAGAGAGTTGCACGATTATACTAAGACATCATTTGGTCGTGGCTCAGTAGTCTACAGTTAAAGAATTTATGTACGAGACCAGAGATCATGAATTTAATCATCTGTGATGAAGTCGTGAGAGGGGAGCACTAATTTTAAATGATTGTCCAACTGGAATCAATTTGTAATCCTAAATTAAAAGCTTCTATAGAATTTTCTTAACTTTTTTTCAAATGGCCTTTCAAGTTTATAATTGATACATTTCAGAACCATTTAAGCAATGATCTATGTAAAATTTCGCTATTTCTACATGAAACAGTGTCTAATTCACTCATCAAACTATGTATCGTTTTGATCTCTGTAACAGACAATGTCATACACTATTCAATATAAGGTTTTGTGAATATGATAGAATTATCATAGACTTTATATAACTAACTGATGTTTATTAGACTATGATTAAAAACCTGGATTATTTTATGATGGGAAGTAGAACATAGTTCATTATTATTTATTTATTCATTTAAACATATAAACATTCGCACAAGGAGGCACCAAATATATACGTGCCAAATAAATCATTCAATTCGCATGAGGGCTGAAATACTGCCCGGGTGCCCAAGCTGGTTGTTTTCTTAGGGTCTACACCCCGAGCCTTTGACCTAAAGGTCTGATCCATAACGCATTAGAGCAACGTAAGCAGATTCAGTCTCATGGTAGCCAGTGACCAACAATTGTTTCATACGCCATTTGTTTCCTTAGGATCCTGAAGCTCATTTGCACCATTAGTTTGGAATCAGGGTTTTCTAACTCCCCTAGATGGATCCGCTATATCCATCAACGCGATTAAAACACTAGATATTTGCTTTTCATCCTCTCAATTTCGTAGATAACACCCCTGTGACAAGAAAGTAGTGAACAGGACTTCCTTGGCAATGGTTGTATGAACATGACCATGTGAGAGTATTTCGATAGGGAGAACTAACTCTCCCAAACCTCGACTGTACCGGGGTATTCGATGGCTTTAAAAAGTTGTATCGAATCAAATTCCTACTTCATCAATCAAACCAGGAAAGCTTGTTTGTTTTGTTTTATAAACTGTACATTTAAAAAAAACAAACTCAAATCTGTTTCAATATTCTAAAAATATTTGTTTGTTTGTTTTTCTTTTTCGAAAAATATCTTTTCTAGCTGGAACAACATTTGCATATGGTGTTAAGTATGATACAACTATAAGTTATAATTTATCAAATAATATCAATCAAACAATTGATAATGATAATGATCATATTGGTTATTTACGTTTAATTTATACAGATCGTGTAAGAAATACAAGACAAGATGAATTTGTACTTGGTATTCAAACAATTTTAACAAATTTAACTTATAATAAAAACCAACACAAAAATAATGAACAAATTTCTCATAATTACATAACCACTTTATTATTTGTTACTAGTTTAACACAAATTGGTGATTTTATACATTTATTTTTAGTAAGTTTATACATAGGTACAATGTAGTTTTTCTATTACTATTTATTTAACAGTAATGATGATAATTTCATGTTAAATAAAGGTGGATATATGATTAAGATCATGAATTGATTGATGTTAGATCAACATTGGAAATTTGGAAGCACTGAAAGAGCGTTACGTCATATGATGAGAATTCTCAAAAAGGACATATCCACGATCCTATAGGTGGGATTCGGACCCGGGGATTTCAGTCTCACACGTGAACAATTAATGTTCCGACCATTGATTCGGCATACAATGGTTTTCATGTCTAACCTCAATCAATCTACAAAATTTTTACAAACCTCTTTAGAGAGTAATTTTAATCAGTTTTTGTCTAGTTGTTTGATTTTTCATAACTTTTTGAATTTGTTTTGTTAAAATGGCTATCCAAAACCTATTTCGGAAACTTCTAATCACATATATTGTCAGGTTATTCCTTTGTTAATAGTGCTTTTATATGTGTTATATATGACTGTATAATACAAATCAGTGTTATCTTTGAAATCTACTGATGAACTTTAGAGAGTGATCTGATGAGGTGAATAGATAAAATTACACATCTAACTTATCTGGATTTTTCGATCAAACATTACATCCGTTTTTAATTCAATATGATAATTATTCAGTGTAATATGTTTTTATTGAGATCATGAACTGATTGATGTTAGATCACCATTGGAAACCTGGAAGCACTTGGTGGCTGTTTCGTTCTATTGTGGGACACCTCAGCAGTGCGCATCCACAATCCCACGGGCGGAATTCGAACTCACGGCCTTCAGTCTCGCGCGTGAACACTTAACCTTTAGACAACTGAGCCGGAATCCAACGGTTTTCATGTCTAACCTCAACCAATCCACGAAATCCTGTGACCATCTTCCATTGTACTGAGGAAGATACCTGTCTCTACCCGACACGGATTTGCTCCACTGTTCACGGCTTCTCACTAGAAATCCGAGAATTCCCTCACGAAGCTAGTCACTAGTGAGCACGTGGTAATTATCAGTATAGAGTCGTGGAGATTATTAGGCTTTTGGTTGAGATCATGAATTGATTGAACTGATTCGCGTATGAGATCGAAGGCACTGGGGCTGAATTCTGCGGGGCGTGATCGCAGGTGTGCATTGCTGAGGAGTCCCACAATAGGACGAAACGACCGTCCAGTACTTCAAGGTTTTTAATGGTGGTCTAGCATCAATCAGTTCATGATCTCAATCAAAAACTTAATAATCTCCACAACCCTATACTGATAAGATGGATATAATTTAATTTCATACACCTGGTTACCTTTATTATCCTAAAGAGAACACGAACGAAGATTGGTACAGAATAATATGAATTTTATCGTGTTTCGTTAGATCCTCATCACCTACTTACAACCTAGAATATTTGAAAATCAACTTTATTATAGATATTAACATACTTATTACAAACAAGGGTGATTAAAAATGAATATATATGCATCATGATATATCGAAGATTTCAATAAAGTTTAATAAGATCATAAAAATTGTTTGTTTCGGATAAAAAAGGTTTAGGAGGGGAATTTTCAGAACATTGGAATAGTGATTAGAATTAATAAAGTTAACAAACATTAAATGATTATATTCACTTGGTATTGTTTAGCTTGTATCTTCCCATTGAGGTTTAAGATTGCAATTGATCAGTCTGTTGTTGGCATATGTGCATACCGTGCGTATGCCTCGATATTGCCTTAATTCACAAGCTTTTTGTAAGCAATGATGGATAGTGGCTAGCAGTGGAATCCAGTTTGACGCGCCTTTCGTCCCCTTTGGGACTCGTCAGCTGGATGTACTTGCATCTCAAAGTTGACGTTCACTCCAGGACTCGAACTCACTACCAACAACAACACCAAATTATTTTAATCTTCACCACATTGCACAGGCAGGTGGTTATCAGGACTCAGTAGCTAAGCGGATAACGCGATGGCATTTGAAGCGAATGGCATTGGGTTCGAGTCCCAAGGTGAACATCAACTCTGGGATGCTGATTCATCCAAATAGACAGAAAGCGCGTACTGGATTCCACTGCTAGCCCATATCCATTTTTGATTAAATGACTATGTAATAAAACAACTGAAAATAGATTATTGGTGATGAAGAAAGATCTGAATTGAGATCAGTCTGCTATGAATTGAAGAAAAATGACAATGATGTAATTTAAACTTTAGAAAGAGTTGAAATAATACATGACTTATTAAATAAAAGAGGTGTTTAATGTTACTAGGGCAAAGAAAGATTTATTACTGTCTCTATTTGTAAACATAAATCTGGTTTTAGACGTTTGGTTGCTATCGCTTCGGATCGTGTTTTCATTTTCATGTTCTATAGTAAACTGGATATTTGTATGGGCTTCATTGAAAAGTTTTAGAAGATTTGTTGCATGTTGTTGATTATTACATACGTAGAAGGTATCACCAATATACCTCGAATAATACATCATGATACATATATTCATCTTTAATCAAACTCATGGGTATAATTATGTCAATATCTGTAATAAAGTTAATTTTAAAATATTATAGGTTGTAAGCAGCTGATGAGAAACAAACGGAATAAAATGAAATTCATATTATCCTGCGTCAATCCTCGTTCTTGCTTTCTGTAATTTAATTGATTCATTAATTAGCAAACTGCAGAGATCAGATAGATCAGCGTTTAATATTAAGTTTTCATGTGTGGCTGATAAATGTGACTTTGTGTTTCACTGGATAAGTAAAACAGTTCAACAGTAAAGGAAATTAAAAAAAACATTATATAGATGGGATTAAGCCAATTAATGTTAACTCTTGATATTGGGGAGTTCCGTATAAGCCCATAGTACTTGAGGAATTAGGAATGGTTTTACGTGGCAAAGGGATAACGGCAGCTAGCATACAATACTTCAACATTTGGCCGCTAAATCATGGAGAACAAAAATTGTACGAAAACATGATATTCAAAATAGAAGTATGACAAAATTACTATATTTATAGCATCGAAAACATAACCTTGAAAAACTCAGAAACTTAGCAAACCAAGCACAATCGCAACCAATCGATATAGGCAGAGATCATATTGGAAACTGAAATTAAAATAGGTACTTATGATTATTATTTCTAGCAAAAGTTTAATATTCTTTACAAAATTTGAATAATCTTATGATATCCTTATTATTAATCATATCATTTGAATAGAGAGTTGTTTTATAGAGAGATGAAAAGGAATAAAATTTTGAATCATAATAAAGTCAAGCGGCTAACTGTACATCTTTTTGTTGGACAGATAAGACTCTTTTGAGTCAATTCTTATCACTTTCTATGTTTGTAAGAACATATAACTTTATGTAAGGTTTGATGCTCACAGTAAATGCTACACACATATTATTACATTATTAAAAGTTTAAAGATGATATTCATCTGTATAGATTAGATTTAGATTGCATGTACGTATATTAGTCAGATAGATAACTAGGTGCTGATATGACAAAAGCAGACGGAATAAACTCTAGATTTAGAATTTAAATCAGATGCACATGGGTTTCACATTGCATAAGAGTTAAATCAATTAGATCGATAGAAGCTGCTACAGATATATTACATTGAAGTGATAAAATACCAGTACACTTAATAATGAGGTAACATTCTTCATAAAACAATCTTGAGAATCAGAAAAATCATTTTAATAATGAATGATCATCGTCTAGCTAACTTATGAAAAGGAAAGAGCATTTACTTTAAAAGTACTACTAGCTAGGATGAGTCAATTAACTATTATGTGACAGTGATAAAACAACGTTAACAGTCGTTATGGATTTATTTCTAATTTTTAAATGCTTCAAGATAACTGGTCGATAATTTATCTAACCTATATACATCTGAACATCAAACACAATTTTACAAAGAATCCATCTATGTAGTTTTATTATGTTTTTATCCTGGGTACTCAATGGTCATTTGCAGGAAACATTGGTCATTAGTTTCATGTTATATGAGAATACTCAACATGGCATACCTGAACTGTTAAGCCAACAGATATTCTCTATGGGGTTCAAACATGCCTTATTCAGTGCTGTAGTTTGAGACTTCATCGCTGAGGTATTTGAGTAACAACAAGTAACAATAATATCAGAAAACATAACCCAGAGGTTTTCTACCAACTACATATAAATGCCCGACAACGACACCTAGCACATGCGATGTCGGAATATATAGACTAGTGGCCATATTGAAACTTGATCTAGAGAATTAGGTCTGCCTTAAGGATTAGCCAAATATAACATTTTTCACTTGCAATTAACAAAACAGTGAAAGTGTCTTTTCATTTTTTTCCAACTTCTTTGAAAATTCCTATTTAGGAATCAGGTGTAGTGCGGCTTAATTATAACATGGGTGGAGGTGTGGTTCACATCAGTGGACCTAATTTCCCAATCAACGATGGATTTTATCACCGAATCCGAGGCTATCGTGTCGATCGTCAGATAATTCTTGAAGTAGATGACTCAAGACATACATATGAACTAAACAGTAAGTTGATTTATCAACATTCAAACACATGAATATGCTTTTAATTTTTCAAAATTTGACTACACGATTTCCATTATGTACATTCTGACTTTTGAATAAGTAGATATTGAAAGGTGTTATCACTATGTAGTATTGATATTAAAGAATATATAGACTATCAGTGCATATAAATTCACTAACCAAACATTTCTAATTAAATTGGATTCATTCAGGAATTCATTACAGTTTCACGTTAATTAACATCATTATCAACAGCGTAAAAATATACGGTGAGATGATCTGCATGATAAGCCCCTAATCAAATCCTACTTAATTTGTCAATGTGATATATTAGATAACAAAACATCCTAACGACTTTTTCTTCCATAGTTCAGTGTCCTAAGTCTTAATCAATAACATGATTAATTTTGAATCGAAATTACAGAACGTTTATCATTCCGTTCCGTTCAAGACTTCATTTCGAATATGTGATGATAACAACCAAGAATTCATCATTATTCTTCTAAACAGTGTAGGCCTATATACAAACATAACGTACTGGATCACATTATCAATGAAAAAAACAATATTGTATATAAACACATAGTAGCTCACCTGCAACTGAGTGTGTTCACATTTAATTCGGTTAAGCACTTTTGTTAACTTATTTAACGGATAAAGTCATCCATACTTTATTACTGTTGTGCTTGTATGAAATATGTGTGTCTGAACATTGCTTACCGCCTACGCATATATTCATTCTGCTAGCTTTATTATCAGCTGCTTAATCGATTCGATTATCTATTCATTTCCCTATATATATATATATATATATATATATATATATATATATATATATAATCCTATACACTCTCGGTTCGCTGACTTCGTCATTTACCTCTCTGCTTTGTGGTCTGAGTTAACTGCTAATAAAACTGTAGTCACTGCTTCTTTTTGCCTTCTGATTTCAAACACCGTTGAGGAAGATATGTAAACGGTTATGAGGATGATTGGTTAATGAAGCACAGCAACTACAAACAGACCAATATGACAGTGAATCTAATAAACAGTAAATAACTTGATTAATTATAAATTATAAATAATAAGATGTATGGCATTAGTTAATGAATCAAACGGTAGTTAACAACATATGAAATATAAAAATATAACAGTTCAATAATTTAGTTATGAGATAATACAAAGATGTATAATAAAAGTTGATCAAATAATTCCGAAAGTTTCCATCTCTTCAATCTGTATTCTTTTACATCAACAGAAATAAAATGATAACATAGTTTAGAAACAGTAGATTAGATGGTGATGTAATACTCACGCAACAATGATCTTAATCAAATACTCAGATACATCTTAAACTCTGTCAAGTTTTTATTAACGACATATTTGAAATAATTTAATAAAGATTCAATGAATGTAATACTCCATAATTTCATACAATTTTTTTGAAAAATCCATATAGCTCTAATAAAAAAGTTATGTTTAAACGACGATTCATTAACTAGGTGTTAAGATGGCATCCCAGAAGTACGATGGAACCTTTAGAGTCCCTAAAGGAGTCAAAGAGTTTCCATACAATCAGAACCAAATAGAGTGTCCTAGAATAAAAACTTGTCATGCTACGATTGGATGGTAGCCTAATTTGCCTCCTTGTAGATTGGTTGAATTATAATGATGTTATAGCTAACTCTAATATCTATAAATATCTATGCTTTTCTATACATTTTTTTCAATTCTTACCGAATAATCACTTCTCCTGTTTCTTTTATCTTCTGGATTTGCCATTATGAAGGTTCTATGCATTCCATTGTCATTAGTTGTATATCATATTCTACGTTAATCAATTCTAGAGTTCATCTGTATTTTCAATGTAAATGTACATTAAAGTGTTCTAATTCAAACTTATTCATTAGTTATTACACTTTTTATTTCCAGGTAAGAATATTTTATCGGAAATAAAATCTTTGGACCTTCTATTACATATTACATATAGACATGATTACATTACTTTATAGATTTCTTCAATAATAAATATAAGAAACGATATAGAAAGGAAATGAATTTTCATTTCATCCATTAATTTTCTTCTTATTAGTTTTTTTCTTCTTTGCCGACTAATTAATTAAAACTTTCCATTGTGTTTTTTTTTACTTATCATGGTTACAATAAAATTCAATAGATATTAACCTATCATTGCCCGGATATATTTGACTAGTAAATAGACGAATTCTTTTGTTTGTTTGTTTGTTTGTTTTAATAATAATTTTTATATAAACATAGGTATATATGGGAAACAGTTCAATAATCAAAAAGTTATTTGGCTTGGACATGCACCACGATTAAATAAGACAGACTTTTTTCATGGTTACATGACTGGTAAGTTATATTATCATATTTTTTTTTGATTATACACCATAGAAATAAGGAATATAATTGATTAATCATTTATGGATTATGATATATTTACAAAAGTAACATTTAGATGTTTTTTTATAGACATTAACAACGTTGGATGCCGGCTCAGTGGTCTAGTGGTTAAGTGCTCGCGTGCGAAACCAGTAGGTCTTGGGTCAGAATACCGCGGGGTGTGGGATCGTAGATGCGCACCGCTGAGGAGTCTCGTACTAGGACGAAACAACCGTCCAGTGCTTCCAGGTTTTCCATGGTGGTCTAGCTTCAATTGACTCATGATTTCAATCTGTGAAATTTCTAAAATCTCCACAAACGCCTTCTGAGAAAAAAATTTATTTAAGTTTTTAGGTCACTATGTTTACATTTACAAACATATTAAAGGTGACTATTTTTTTTTCGTTGTCAACATTATTCTAAAACTATAATATCCATGTACATTAGAAGGGGTAATGGTATTTCTTTCATTTTCAATGAAATATCGGTATCAGTATGTGTAAAACTCTATAAATATACAATTATCTCTTTAAGATCATATTGAATCTGAAGTCCCTCTATGGTTGTTACCAGATGGAAGCCTTAGTAAAAAGAAGTGAGCTGAACATAAAGTTTTCAAACCCATCTCGTAAACAACAACATTTCTGCAAAAACCCAAACCAGAGAAAATCAATTCAATGTATTAATATATATCAAGGGACTTGAATGGTCATCACAAACAATGATTATGACGCCTTCAAGTAAAAGCTAAGAGCTTCCGGAAGCCATGAACCTGATATCCCTTTTTTCACAGTTACATTTATCAGACTGTTTTCAGTACAGTTATTTACACCATAAAATTGCATAGGATGTTATTACGTTAAAATTTCTCAGATGTACAATATTTGAATTGACATGGAACCTTTTATGTCTTGAGTATACATGGTTATACTTCAATAGTTAGTTTAAAGAAAAAATTACATTTAATAAAATAAACGTTATTTTGTTGTTTACGACATTAGGTGTCGAAATTATATGTCAGTTACTTCTTTACACAAATTCTATCCAACTTTTAACACTAACAGTTTGCACAAACTTTTTTAAAATAAGTTTTGGATAAGAGCTGTAATAGTACCATCACGAACCATTACATTTACGTTTAAGGTTTCAGACATATTCATAAAGCTGCAGAACGTAGAAGTTAAAGAGGTTTGCACTACAGATCAACCTAAGATTGACCTTAAAACCCTGTATTTGATTATATACAACTTTATTAATAACACGAACAAAAGTTAGAGAACTGCATGGCCGTTGCGTCATAGTATATGACTACCGAGAAGTGTGCATTCATGACCCAACCATAGGGACTGATTCTAAAATCTTCAATCTCACGCTTAAACTTCTGATCTGTAAACCAATGCGTTGAGACACAATTGTGTACAAGTCTAATTTCAATCAATATTACGCAATCATCTTCCATTGTATCATATTAGAAAAACGTGGTAATTCAGTGTTTCCAGGTTTTCAATGGTTATCTAAATTAGATCAATTCGTGATCTCAATAAGTTTCAACAATCTTCACACTTCTATACTGACGACTAAATAACAACGTTCTATTTGTTTAGTAATATATGCTTGATTAGAGGATTTTTGGCACACAACAGAACGAAACCCCTATTTTATTGGAATTCAACTTTTAAGTATGCAAAATCTACGCATAAGACGTTTTAAATAAAAATTATTTGCCATTAATACTCATTCACAAATATTTAATACCAGTTTTATTCTTATGACGTCTATTTTCACACAATACATTTGGTGTATGCATTCCAGTTGTAACCGCCTCTCATTTCTACAAAACTAAGTATAGAAAATTTACCGACAATCCTAGTATTCCATTTAAGGTATCTGATTAATTAGATTGTAAACATTCTATGAAATTGTATAATTATACTCGTCTATTAAATATAATCTGTTCATGGAAACAGATTTGAACCTGGAAAATTTTTGGTAATTAATACATGTTTTAGAAAAGATATAAGCCGGGCATTTGAACGGGCTATTTATAGATGAAAATTAAAAGAAACTAGGCAATGTGTAATTACTCAAGTGTTACTTCTTTTTTAAATTTAATACAATAAACTATCTTTATTCTCTTACATATTTTAATGTTCATTGACTATGCTTTCATTGAATTTCAAAGGTAGAATAGCGTATAAATACCAGCCATTCAAATAATTTCCTATATATTGTAATCAGTGAACTAATTAAATCGGTATAAAGTTAATTATTATAGTAAATATATGTATGATACAATTTGTCAGATTCATTCGAATAAGCTCAAATCAATTCATTTTGGGTAAACAAAGAATATGTGGATTTTATTAATTAAAACGGCCTTTAAGCGACGAGAAGGTGACCTTGAGTAGGTCCACCTGCTGACTAGGTCTAAATGAGGGTTTTAAACCTTTATGAAAGATAAGGATTGTGATTTACAGTTGATGGTTTATTATAGGGATTAGATTTGTAGTTTTCATCACGAACTAACACCAGCCAAAATGCCAATACCCTATTTAGCCAAATGGATAAAGAATTTCGCGCCGAAACACAAGACCTGTTATTGTAAATCTGATTGGTTCGTCTACAAGTCATAGTCTCGCTAATAGAACATTGGCATACAGAATATGAGACAGTAACAATAATAATAATAATAATGGTCAAGAATTCTAGGTAGGAACAACTTATATAACAGTGATAAAATATGTAAACAAAGAAAGGTTTTCGTAAGTGTAATGCAATTAATTCATTTCATTCAAGAATATATTTATTATTCATGCTTTCCGATATTCTTTTGATGGATGAATATTTCATTTAAACATCAGTTAAGTGTGAATAATCAATTAGGTGTTGTTTATCATTACTTTGTCAAGAAACACATTTTTTTATTATCATGAGAAACGATATATTTTATACTGGGAATGACTAATTTCTATTAATTTTTAAGGTGTTTACTATAATGGATTACTATTGCATGATATAGCTGCCGGTTTATCCTACGTAATGTATATACATGTGACACGATTTGGAAATGTGAAGCATACACCAAAATTTCAACCGAAATTACTCAAATCTGACTACTATAAAGAGTGAGTTTACATTTAAATACATATATTTTCTTAGTAATGAATTTTGAATTCATTTAAAGAGTTAGTCTTAAAAGACAAGTTATATTGTAGTGTGAACTATTGATATCGACAGATATAAGTAGTATGTGTCACCAATCGAAAGTGGAATGCCTAGTGACAGAAAAATGAGAACATCGGAGAGAAGCGAACGAGAACAGAGAGTGATTGGAATGGGAATAAAAAACTGTAAAGTCTGTGAAAATTGATCCACATTTTGCAAATGAAGTATTTACTGAATGGTTCTCAGATTTTACCAAGATATTCTGTAATGTTATATCTGAATACGCTTAGTTGTCCCAACTGGTGTTTTCGTTCACTACAATATCAAATAACTGACACCGACATCACTGTACATGACGTGAAGTATGAACATGGAAGACCAGTACAAGTGAAGATTTATTTACATAGAAACACGACGACAACCCTAGTCGAGAATACATTCACTTATATATTGATTTGCACAAATAATGAAATATGGTCACTTGTATGAAAACATAACAAAATTGCAAGCTACATATCATGCTGTATATAGTTCAAGGTAATTTATTATAACGTGTATTAAATATTCAATAAACATCAAACCGAAATTAACTATTGTTATACTGAGAAAAATGGTATACTGCTGGGGAGTCCCATAATAGAACGAAACAGCCACCAAGTGCTTCCAGGTTTCCAACGGTGATCTAACATCAATCAGTTCATGATCTCAATAAAAACACATTACACTGAATAATCATCATATTGAATTAAAAACGGATGTAATGTTGGATCAAAAAATCCAGATAAGTTCAATGTGTAATTTTATCTATTCACCACATCAGATCACACTCTAAAGTTCATCAGTAGATTTCAAAGATAACACTGATTTGTATTATACAGTCATATATAACACATATAAAGGCGCTATTAAACAAAGGAATAACCTCACAATATATGTAATCAGAAGTTTCCGAAATAGGTCTTGGATAGCGAATTTTGACAAAACAAATTCAACTAGTTATGGAAAATGAATCAGCTAGACAAAAGCTGATTAAAATTGCTCTTTAAGGAGGTTTAAAGAAATTTGATTGTAATTGTAGATTATGAATTTGATATTCTTAAAACTTTTTATTATTTAAATTGTTGTCTTTCTTCAGTAAATTTGAACTATTTCTAAAAGCCGCTCTCTTGATTCTGATTGACTTAACCCACTTTTACTTGAAAACTCTTTATTGAAAATAGAAATACGATACTAAATGGACCGCTTAATTTTTTGTGTTGCAATAACTAGAAGTACTCGATAATATATCCCCATAATGTTTAAAAATAAGAAGATTTGTGACCTAGTACATTTGAAATTAGTTACCATTCAAACGTGCATATTATATGTTAAGAGTGATATCGGCTAACAGTTAGATTCAGGAACCACATTACTTCCTACTTGAGGCTCATCATTCGGATGTACTTTCATCCTGGTTATGAAGTTCTTTCAATGATCTTTTGCTTCAAACTCAAATGAATTGTCCACTAAGGTATTTTGTGCAGATAACAACTAGTTAGTGGAACATATAAAAGTTTTATTTTAAAATGTTTGTATTTGTCTTATAAGTATTGCATAAATGATTTTCACTGAAATCATGAATCCACCAATGTTAGATCCCTACTGAAAATCTGAAAGCACTTACCTGCCATTTTGTCTTAGTATGAGACTACTCGGCAGTGCGCATCCACCATCCTACGAGCGAGATTCAAACCCAGGACCTTAAGTCTTGCGAGCAAATGCTTAACCTATTGATCCGTTAGTAAGTTTGTATGATATTTTATATTAAATCAGAAAATTGTTTTGAAAATAACAATCGTCAATTATCAATGTAGAAACTTTATTTACACTAAACATGCATGCTATTTCAGATTTATATTTACTTCCACGTCAGAATTTTATACTTTGATTAATATATATATATATTCTGAAAATGATAATTACAGAATTCACGCTAGTTTACAGCCATGACCAATCTGATATAAATAATAACATAAGATGTACAGAACAAACATATGATATAAGATAGTTTTAAGTATACTAGTTCAGTAATTGTTTAGGTATTACATGTATTATAGCGACGAAATGCATCAGCCGGGAACTTTTAATTTTTCTTCAGTGGACAGCCTTTCGATTTATGAACGATGTATTTAAAGTCATTTCGTGTGCTAGATCAAAATAATGATAATTATCCACAAATAGAGAAAATAAAACGAAAACAGAGAGCACGGATCAACAATGCAATAATTACCAAAACATGTCAATCAGGTCTACCAAAATGCATGTGTCATGTGCTAGATATTATTCAGATGAGCTTAGTTTGCTAGGGATAGTGTTAGCGTAAAGTGACAGTAGGTAAGTGGTTTTATTTAGGGACTTCACTAATAATAATGTCTAAACATTTGAAGTTTATGTAATATTACTTATGGTATAAGATACATCTACAGATGTTAGGAAATTCCATGCATTTTCAGAGGAGCAGTATGCATCACTTCAGAGAACAAATAATGGGAGTGATTTTATCATACGAATAGATTGTGCTAGATTATTCCAGAGTCTAGAAAATTTACACATAAAGTAATCTATATAAAGAGATGATTCAGAATAAGTTTATTTCACTAGTGACAAGGAGTTACGGATGTCATAATGAGAAGTTTCTGCATATTGAATCACTTGACTAGATATAAAAGATAGTTTATTAGGTAGTTTGAAGAAGAAGATAAATTTTAGTTTGAGTCTCCTCTTCCATAATTAGTTACGCCCATTTGTATTGTATAATCTATTCCAGAATATAAATACTGTAATATTATGTAACATTAGCATTCAATGAAAACAGTCATTTAGTTACATTTAATTGTAAGTATTTGTATTTCCTATATTTCACAATTTAGTTCATTGTTATTTCTTGAAGATAACAACTATACTTTAAGTTCAACCTATTTTTTTAATAGTGGAGTAAACTACGTGAATCGTGATGAACCAGTTAGTGAAGAGATAACAAAACAAATCTTAACCAATTCATTACCATTTCATTTTTATTCCAATTCTTCCTCTTCATTATTATCTTCATTGAACTATGAGTATTTTAATAACAATATTTCTAATGAATCTATACATTCAGATATAATTCATTCACAGACAAATTATTTACAATATAATAAATGGAAAGTGTTTAAAACAATGAGTCGTTTACATGAACAAGTTAATATTTGGCTGTTAATTAGTTTAGCCGGTGCTGGCCTAATAATGTTAATCTCAGTTACATTTCTAGCTTATAGATGTCATCGTAATAAACATATAAATTCACATTGTTCTAAATTAACTGAAACAAAGCAAATGAGTCATTTACATCAATTCTCTCCGACATCAGTTACTTATAGAACTGCTTCAGTAGGTTCTTTATTAAGTATGGATGATATAAGATATACTATGATATCTAAACGATTAAAACAAAATCAAGAACAATTATCATCAGTTTCAGATGATCAATCACATTCACTATGTGATCGAACATCAATTAGTGGATATAAAATCAATTATTCTAATACTACAGTAACACCTTTTATCTTAGTAACTGATTCAATAAATTTACCAAGAAAATCATCAACAGGAATAGATCATTACAATTTAATAAAAACATCTTTACCTAAATTAGGTTCAATGCATTTCAATGTTAACGAGCTTCCAATTAAAACATTTGAACAATATATACCAGATAAATATTTAAAAGATAATGAATATAAAGTTGTTTTAAATGTTTCTGATAATGATTATTTAAAAACACAATATATACATGGGTTTATTGATACATTAAATAATGGACAATTCAGTACAGGCTCTTCAATAGAAACATCCCAAATGATGTAGTATTCAAATATCAAGTTACTATATATATTAATGAAATTCTGAATCAAGTTTATTATGTTATGAATAAATGACAAATACCTATCAACAATCTAAATAAAGAGGGTATTATTTTTATGTAGAAAGAAAGATTTCCGGTATGTTAGCTCATTTTTATATGACATATATATATATATATCTATCAAAATGACTTTACATCATTTGCTCTGTATGCAGCGATAAACATTGTAAATAAAATTATATTTCAGGTAGGCTTGTCTTCTCATTCTCTTTGAATTATGCGCAAGTCTTGATTGATTTTAATGAGATAATAACGAAAAAATCAACGATAAATGTTATTTGAAAATGTCAAATATTTAACGGTAAATAAATATTATCAGTATATAGTTGTGGAGATTGTTAGGTTCTTGATTAAGATCATGAATCAAACGATGTTAGATCGTGCGCGAGACCAAAGGTCCTGGGTTCGAGTCTAGTGTGCGGAATTATGGATGAACACTGTTAAGGAGTCACATACTAAGACAAAATGGCCATCTAGTGCTTCAAGGTTTTCAATGGTGGTTTAGGTTGAATCAACTCATGATCTCAATTAAAAATAAATAATAATCATTGATAATTCTGCTTAACAACATTGAATGTTACGCAATTAACAAAGATAGTTCCTTAGAAAGCTATATAATTGAAAGCTCAAAGATGATTGTTTTGAATGATTGATCCGATATATTCTTTAATAATTCATGAACATCAAATGTATTCTCATGCAAGTATCACTGTCGGAAGAAGTATTAAATTTATGGTCGAAAAGAAGATATTGATCATTAAATTAATCGGTACCATAGGTAGTCCTAGCTCTTTTAGAATCTCAAACGAGAAGAGTAAGTAGAAAACGTAATTAATCAGTCAGCCTGATTAACAATTGTGTAAGTTCTATCTTGGGTTCGACTATATTATGACTACTTCATTTATATAAATGTATAGGAAATAACTTATAAGTCCGAGTGTACTGCCATTTTATTTAACATCATTTACCATGTCAAATTACTACACGCTCTCAATTGGTTCAGTAGAAAATTGCATTCAATTAGCATTGTAATAGAATGTTCTGAAATTCTTACTGAAATATTACAAAATCAGTTTCATTGGCGAAGGATGGTACGGCACAACTATTATTAGAAAACAACATTATGCTGAATTCTTGATCATTTTCATTTGCTCATTCACATTTTATTGGCCAGTATATTATTTTTAAAGAAGGAACGAATTGAGCGAAGAAATTTCTTTTCAATTAGTTTTTCATCATGGCTCTACACTAATATATACGTTTTGCAATAATAATATAATACTCATCGAGTGGATACGTTACGTAATAATTACATAATGACATTTAAATTAACATTAATTAATTGGAAGAGAGAGGATTATTAATATTCAAAGTAATCAGGAAGTTGCTAAGTTGCGTAATATAAGAAACAAAGAAGGAATAGAATTTTACCGGATGGTGAATAGGATAGTAGTTACGTAAGAATCAAGAGATGAATGTTGAGAAGTTATAAGGAACAAAATTACAAAAATTTTAAAATAAATAAAAATAAAAATGGAAGAAGTATGAAAAATAGTTCTTCTGACGGAAATATTATACTGAAGGCCAGGGGAGAGAAAGTGGTTGTACGAATTTCTTTTGGATGCAAAGGTCAGGTTTGTGAACATGGATTGCGATGGCTTCCGCAATGTGCAAAAGGCGCACACGTAAACCATGTGGTAGATTTGATGGAATATTGTAGATAACCTTAAAAGCTTTATTCAATTCGACTTGATGACCTGTGTCAACCAAGTGAGAGAGAATGGAACTTTTAATCACTTTCACCTGTCCTTTGCTTAGCCATTTTGGATGATGTTCTGTAATGCGGTGACGGACCTGTCGAATTGTACGCCCTATGAAACTGGCTCCACAGGAGCAGTTGAAACGATAGATACACATAGATTTGGCGAATTCTGGCAGTCTGTCTTTAATGGATGTTCTTATTTTCGGTTGGTTGTAGAAGATGACATTTAATTTGGCAGCATTACTCTGAATATTAATAATCCTCTCTCTTCCAATTAATTAATGTTAATTTAAATGTCATTATGTAATTATTACGTAACGTATCCACTCGATGAGTATTATATTATTATTGCAAAACGTATATATTAGTGTAGAGCCATGATGAAAAACTAATTGAAAAGAAATTTCTTCGCTCAATTCGTTCCTTCTTTATTTACCAAATGGCAAAATGGGAATTTTCACTATATTATTTTTAATTCGAACATACAAATAATCATGTACCTGGGTAAAATCAGATAAACTGAGGAAGATGAATATTCAGTGTAAGTGATAAGTACACTTTTAAGAGTTAATTGCATAAATAAGGGCAACATTCATCGGTATTAGGTAAAAATATTCTAAGTATAATGTTTGCATAATCCTTCTATTTGACCACATAGTTCAACTTTTCAAGAAGATCCATTCTGTTACTGTATTCTGAGAGTACTCCTGCTGTTCAATTTCGACACTAAGATATTTGAGTATATACTGAAATATATTATGATATCGTAATGTGTTATACTACTTGGGAAAGAATGTTAATTGTCAAAATTTGTTACTAGTAACCAGAAAGTCATCGAAGAGCAATATATGGATATTCTATGTTATGCGAAAATACTTTTTATCATAAAAAACCCATGACGTTATAATATATGGCTAGTGAAAGTGAGCAAGACGCACAGCTTCCTGATGATTATTTACGTGAGTCCCTTATCATTACTGATTTCTTCTCTGCAATAATTGAGTGTTTGTTGCTTGTAATTGTGTTGAATAAAGTTTTGTCTCACCCATACTCTCTGTTTATGTGTACCGATCAAGTATGGAATGTAGTGACAGAATGAGCTTGGTCACCGGTTGTAATGACCATAATGGTAGTATATTGTGGCAAGCAGGAAATATTATTATCCTACCGTTATATCAAGTTACTTCTAAGTAAATCAACCTTCGAAGTACTTTTGTTTTATAAATCTACTTAAAAGTGAGTAGGACGTTTAAAATAATCTATAATCATAAATGATAATAGATTATTTAAACACCATATCCCTTTCATTCTCCAGTTGTTTAAATATAATTAATAATCAAACTTTATAACTTGGTGAAGTCCATGGCTAATACAGCTGTTAAGGCTTATACATCAAAACAACTAGTCGTATAACGTTATTAACTCGACAATTGTATCTAGTTAATTGATGTTCATGAAGTGATCATATGTAAAATATATTTTCAGAAATAACTAAAAAGTATTTATCAGTACAGGGTTGTAGAAATGATAAATTTTGATTGTGATCATGAATCGATCAATGGTTTAGTGGTCTAGAAATTAAGCGTTCCCTTGCGACGCCGAAGGTCTCAAAAGAAATCAATGAATTGTTATCAATCTTTTGTCAAAGAAGGCAGTTAATTGTTTACTATTCTTTAAAAACAACATTACATAAAAGATAAAGTTTTCCTTAGCTGATTTTTCTATTTAAATTAGAATAAATGCTATAATTCATAACCGTTTTTTTTTAAATGAGAAATTATCCAGATATAAAGGTAACAGATTACTTATAGCCATTATTAAACTTATGGAAGCTGCTGAATCTTATTGATACAACGAACGAGTCATTCAAGATTAGATAAATATTAAAAACTCCTCATCAATGAACCCTTAACATTCAAGAACCTATGGTTTCACACGTAAATCCCTTTCATACAGATCATTAATTCAAAAATCCAATTTTGACTTTACTCAATCTATGTTTTCAATGGTTATCTAAATAAAAACAATCCATAATCCTAATAAAATTACTTATTTCTTCTTATATTCTTCTGAATTAAGACCATCAATATATTGATGAATGCGTTCTCTAAGAAAAATATTAACTTAATATAATGTCAGAAGTATTTGAATTATCGTATGAACTAGGAATCCCAGAATTAACGTAATCGAATTAAGAAGTACTAGAAAAGCACGAACGAATGTATTGTATTTAGAATTCGAAATCAAGCATCCAACAAGTAAAAAGGTATGATTAGTTCATTCAAACACCACACTTAGCTCAAAATGAATTGATCAGTTTGCATGAATTATCGTTGTTGCAGTTTCCTAACATATTCGAATACATAACTATGAATTTAATCAAATTTCTAAATCAAACTATATTACCAATTTTAAGGCTTTTATCATCTATACTTTCAATTGTCATCAATAATATTTTTTTGGGCAATTAGATTTCATACAACTGAATTCAGTAGTTGATGTAAACTAGACTGTTTCGTCCTAGTAATGAAACTTCTCAACAGTGAAAATCCACAATTGACTCATGAAATCAATTGTGCAAAAAATACTACAATCTTCACATATCTTTATACCAAAAATAAAATTTTTTTTCTCATAAATGTTTACTGATTTATTCATAATGTAAACAACTTGTGCAGTTGCCCAGTTACTGATGACATCACTATTATTTACATAGATTTTTTCAACAACAAAAAAAACTTTTCGTGAGAAAATCAACAAATCATACATTACATTTATTAAATAAAGAAGGAACGAATCGAGCGAAGAAATTTCTTTTCAATTAGTTTTTCATCATGGCTCTACACTAATATATATACGTTTTACAATAATAATATAATACTCATCGAGTGGATACGTTACGTAATAATTACATAATGACATTTAAATTAACATTGATTAATTGGAAGAAAGAGGATTATTAATATTCAAAGTGATCAAGAAGTTGCTAAGTTGCGTAATGTAAGAAACAAAGAAGGAACAGAATTTTAACGGATGGTCAATAGGATGGTAGTTACGTAAGAATCAGGAGATGAATGTTGAGAAGTTATTAAGTTCAAAAGCAACAGAAATAAAATTACAAAAGTTTAAAAAATTACAAAAGTTTTAAAAAATTTAAAAAAAAATGGAAGAAGTATGAAAAATAGTTCTTTTGAAGGAAATCTTAAACTGATGGCCAGTGCAGGGAAAGTGGTTGTACGAATTTCTTTTGTATGCAAAGGTCAGGTTTGTGAACATGGATTGCGATGGCTTCCGCAATGTGCAAGAGACGCACTCGTAAACCATGTGGCAAATTAGATGGGATATTGTAGATAACCTTAAAAGCTTTATTCAATTCGACTTGATGACCTGTGTCAACCACGTGAGAGAGAATAGAACTTTTAATCACTTTTACCTGTCCTTTGTTTAACCACGACGGATGCTGTTCAGTAATGCGATGACGGACTTGCCGAATTGTACGCCCTATGAAACTGGCTCCACAGGAGCAGTTGAAACGATAGATACACATTTATTGACTTGATAAATTGCAAATAATGTACATAGAAGATGAATAAATATTCACTGAACTTGTACCAAACTTGTTTCTTGACAATATGTATAGATCCTTTTAGATTGTTCATAGAAAATCTTAAAAATTCATTTCACATTTTATATATATAATTCATCATCTATGTATAATAAAATCTTCGACTAATGTAATATTTACCGTGAATTTTTATTTATCTTAATTGATTTTCAATGTTAGAACATTATTCTTTTGGCAATATAATTTTCATTCATCATCTATTAATTGAAAAGTATTAGATATTATGTAAATGAAAATGTTTCACAAATCATCCAAACACATAGTTAATATCAGGATCTGTTCTAGGACAGAGTCGAATCAATTACAAGTGTTGACATTAACATTTAGATGTAAACAATCATTAAAATGAGTTGCTTTGTTTTGATGTATCTAAATTTAGAAACATTGTTACAAGAAGGCACCAAATATATATGCGCCAAATAAATCATTCGACTCATGTGAGGGCCCAAACAGAAGCAGGTGGATTTCTTAAGGTCCATACCCCGAAACTTTGACCTAAAGTTCTGATCCACAACGCAGTAGAGCAACGTAAGCAGATTCAATTTCATGGTAGCCAGTGAACAACAATTGATTCATATGCTATTTATTTCCTTAGGATCCTGAAGCTCATTTGCACCATTACTTTAAAACCAGGGTTTTCTAACTCCCCTAGATGAATCCTCTATATCCACCAACCCTATTAAAACACTGGATATTTGCTTTTCGTCCTCTCAATTTCGTAAACAACACC